TTACATTATCACCATAAATTTATACGAAAATTCGGAAATGAGGGATGTTACACATCCAATAATTTTCTTACCCGAAGGCGGCTTCACAAGATCCCAAGTTATATTCCGATGGAGAGACTCAATTTCTTCATTCATCGCAATCAACCACTTAGCGGAATTATCACAAGAAATTGCATCTGAGTAGGAAGTAGGCTCACCAACTTCACTTGTCTCTTCTGCAACAGACAAAGCATATGCAACCAAATTTGCATATCTTTGTGGTGGTCGAATATCTCTCCGTGGTCTATCCTCGGGACCACCTACTGGCATTCTTTGAGTAGAAGAGTTCGACTTAAAAGAATCTGAACTACCAATCTCAAGCTTTACATGCTTCTGCGCACTATCATTTGTACAACTAGTAGAATCCTCTTTAGAAGATAACATAGATAATTCATCAAAAAAAACATCTCTACTAATTACAAATTTTGGGGATTTGGGATCAGAACACCATAATCTGTATCCTTTCACCCCAGAAGCATACCCAAGGAAAATGTACTTTTTAGCCCGAGGCTCTAATTTTCCTTCATTTACATGCATGTATGCTGGACACCCAAAAATTTTAAAATCAGAATAATCAGCAGGAGTACCTGACCAAACTTCCTCTGGAGTTGTAAAGTCAAGTGTTGTAGAAGGAGCGCGGTTGACAACGTAACAAGCCATATTAATCGCCTCTGCCCAAAAGTCTTTTGTCAACCCTGCATTTGAGATCATACACCTTGCTCTCTCCAAGAGTGTTTTGTTCATGCGTACGGCCACACTATTTTGTCGAGGCGTCATCCTAACAGTGCGATGCCGAACGATTCCTTCATTTTTGCAGAATTCTTCAAAGTCACATTCACATAATTTCATGCCATGATCTGTTCGAAGCCGCTTAATCTGTTTACCTGTTTGTTTCTCAATCAAAGCCTTCCATTGTTTAAAGGTTAGAAAAACATCATTTTTATGCTTCAAAAAATAAACCCAACTTTCCTGGAATAATCATCAATGAAAGTCAACATATATCTGGCACCACCCTTAGACTGAACATGAGCTGGACCCCAAAGGTCTGAATGAATATAGTCAAGAGTACCTTTCGTTTTGTGAACTACCGGAGAAGTGAAGCTGACTCTTTTCTGCTTTCCAAAAATGCAGTGTTCACAAAAATCTAGTGGCCCAGTACTCTGTCCGCAAAGTAGACCCCTTTTGCTCAATATGCTCAAACCTTTTTCGCTCATATGACCTAAACGCATATGTCATAATTTGGTGATGTCAGAATCAAACAATGATGATGACGAAACTGCAACCGAACCTGTGACAGTAGTTCCCTGCAGAATATACAAGCTACCAGACCTACAAGCTTTCATAACAATAAGAGCATTTCTAGAAAATTTCATAACTCCACCTTCAGTTGTGTATTTACACCCAAGAGCCTCTAGGGTGCCTAAAGAGATGAGATTCTTTTTTAAATCAGGAACATGTCTAACATTAGTGAGCGTCCTCATAATACCATTATGCATTTTAATTCGGATTGTGCCTCTACCAACAACATCACATGCGGCATTGTTGCCCATCAAAACAATTCCACCATTACAAGATTCATATGTGGAAAACAAATCCCTATTGGGACACATGTGATAAGAACAACCCGAATCTAAAATCCATTCATTTTTAGACCTCGTCCTGTCATCAATAGCAGAGAAAATATTTCCAACATTCTCATCAGTCGCTACACTAACTTCAGCGGATTCAATAGTTTTCTCGACAAATTTTTCCTTTTGCTTTAATTTATTTTTTAATTTAAAGCAATCAGATTTAATGTGCCCCATTTTATGACAATATTTGCATTCCAAATTTCTATGTCTGGATTTAGATCTAAATTTAGATCTACTACTGTCAAATTCTCTTTTATCCATTCTCCCCCTGACAATCAGACCCTCAGCCTGATTCTCTCTACTTTCCCCAATGATATTCCTGTCTATCTGCTCCTTAGATTCCAGTTCAGATTTAATTTCTCGATACAAAAATGTTTCTTTTCCGTAAATCAAAGTATCACGGAAATGCTTAAAAGATTGGGGAAGAGAACATAAGAGTAACAAAGCCTTATCCTCATCATCAATTTTTGCATCTATATTCTCCAAATTCATAACCAAAGAATCAAACTTATCAAGATGTGAGAGTATAGATGTACCTTCAGTCATCCGAAGCATATATAGACTCTGCTTTAAGTAGAGACAATTCTCCACTGTCCTCTTCATGTACAAGGCTTTAAGCTTGTCTCACATGCTCTTAGCCGTAGTCTCCATAGCTACCTCTCATAAAACCTCATCAGAGAGATTTAGAATGATGCTGGATCGGGCCTTCTTATCCATACCCGCAAGATCTTCCTTTGACGTACCACCTGGAATGTTCTCAGCACCCTGAAGTGCCAAATCAACTCCGTCTTGAACCAGAATGACCTCCATCTTGAGTTGCCACATGCCGAAGTTATCCATTTTTTTTCACAATCATTTCTTTGTTTTCTTTTAACACCTCTTCATGTATTGGTGACTTGTATCTTGGTCAGCTAACTTATTAGAATTTAGATTTCTATCTTTTGATCATTTTATTTTCATGAACTCACTCAGTAACAAAAAGTCATTTCACAATTACATTTTTGTAGGAAGTTTGTAACATACTGTTAATTACAAAACTAAATTTTATCTTTTTATACATAAGTATATACTTTTTGAATATATTGTATCAAGATCCAAGTTTGATAACTATGTCTTCATTTCTATTGTAATAATAATAAGTACAAAGGCCGCCTATCTTTTGAACTAGAAAGATTACTCTTTCGTAGCCCACAAACAAGTTAATTAGGAACTTTATCAAAGATACTACAATGGACTTTCTCACGATGGGACAGATTATTTTCAAAAAATAAAGAAATATTTTGGATAATTACATATCAACCACAACCTATTTGATATTGAAAAATCACCCAAATTTGACTACCAACCTTAATATAATAAAGAAAGTAAATTTCTTCTAATGTTTATAAGCAACCAAATTACTCCTTCCTAAAAGTTCCTGAAAATTACACATATTTGATGCATTATGTGTTGGACTTATATTTTAAAACTTAAAATTTTATGAAAATAATTTTGGTACTTATAAAAATGCTTAAATGAAAGGATATGTGCCTTGGGAAAACATCTTTTTACGGTGACCTTTGGGACATGTTGAGTCCTAAACAACATCTATTTAGAGATTAATATATTTCCTCCTCATTGATTTCTTTCTCTCAATAAATTTTATCAATTTATTTTGGTGTTCAATCCATTGAAAGAGGTTAGTCAAGTCAATCAAATCACTTCACGATTATACTAGGAGAGATAATACCAGTTGAATTTTGAATTTTGGGATGAGAATCTCAATCAACATAAAGATGATATTTTACCTTAATATAATAATTATGCATCTTTGAATTCTTTTTTTTAATTAATATATTATTTTTAATATTTTATTATTTTCTTAATAGAAATCCGAATGTAGTAGTTTTTACCGCCCCAACATTGTGTATGACACATTTCATAAATAACTCCATTTTTTTTTCTGCATTTCATTAATAAGTCCATAAAAAAAAAATTTCTTTTTCTTATCTTATGTCACACTTCATTTCATATTGGGAAAATCTATTATAGTGGAATAATTTTTTTCCCTCTTTGTATATCAAAATGAGTTTCTCATCCAAATATTAACTTGTTATCAAAAGCAAATATTAACTAGAGCAGTATAAACAATAGAACAATGAATCAATCACAAAGTGAGACATCAAATTTTTACAGAAAAACCCAATACAAAAAAAACAACAGGATTATAGTCTACTTCAAACCTCCACTATCACTAATAATGATAATAGGTTTACAATAAGTCTTTTTCAAATTAACTAAATGATTATAATAACATCAAAAACATAGATCTTGGTTTAATAATAACATATCATCATCATCATAGATGGATTTTATCAAAGAAAATATAAAAAATAAGTACCTCACAAATGACAAATCATAAATTGGCACTATTAGGATTGTAAAACTTATTACAAGGTTTCTTCGTATAAAATTTGGGCGATTAAATTTAGTCACATAATCGTCTAGCAAAAGTTTCAAAACCCTAGCTTTCTCTCTCCTCTCTCTTTGTTCTTTTTCTGCACCATCACTTGTTAGGATCTCTTTTATTTTTTAAGTTTTGAATTATATTCTATTAAATTTTTCTAGTCTAATAGGAGTCGGATAAGAGCTTATTTGAGATTTATTAATTTTATTAGGAGTTCAAGTCTTAATGGACTCAAGGATGGAACTCTATGAATATCGATGTATATGCTTCTTTTCATCATTTATGAAATATTATTTTAGCATTTAGCAAACCTTCCACTAGATCATTCCTTTTCTTTCCTCTTCTTCTATAATAAAACTCTATGGGTCTTATCACTGTTAGTAGGCATGTTTCTCATGCCAACTCTAATAGGTTTCCTTCCTTTTTTTTTTAATAGATCAGGGTCCAGTCCAAGCAGGCATATCTCATTTTCTGTCTATGGGCTGAACCCAACATTTTTTGTCTCATGAATGAATGATGATCTGAACCCAACATTTTCTGTCTCATGAATGAATGATGATGAATATTACCTCATATCTCATTTTTCCAAACAGGCAAGAAACTCCTATCATTAGTGGGTCGTTGATGATGTTTACATTAGTGAACCAACAATTGATAGGTCACCAAACCTCACCAAATCGGAAGACCTTCCACGCTCTATCAGCACTATTCTATTGCAGTGGAAACAAGCTGCTCACCAAACCTTTTGTTGCTACACACATTATTTTCTCTAGTCAATGACACCCTAATATCTTGTAGTACAGTGTATGACCCAAGAAATTTTTATCACATGAAAGCACTGATCTGAACCATCTATTTTGTTTTGAGGACAAACAGATATCCTACCTATCCAAACCTAAAAGTGTACATAAGGAATCCAATAAGAGGAGCATTTCTATCTTCCCCTTCTCTATGATCCATTCCAACTTCTTGTCTTCCCATTCTATGGTCAACAAAAGTATTTGATGATTGAAATCTAGCCTAGTAAAGACCTTTCACCCAATTGCGTTCGGCAGCCACTTTGGACATGAGAGCCATTCAAGTCTTCCTTCCTCTTGTCATGGCCATGATCCTTATGGCTGTTCCACGGGCCTCTTCTGCGTTTAGCGGCCTCAGAGTAGAGCTAACCCATGTGGATTCCAATGGCAACTTCTCCAAGTTTGAGCTGCTCCAACGAGCAGCACTTCGCAGCAGCCGCAGGATGGCACGGTTGACGACCCGGGCCATGAAAGCCGCGGCATCTGCCAATGAGGTCCAAGCTCCGGTCCATGCCGGCAATGGTGAGTTCCTCATGGACTTGGCCATCGGCACTCCGAGTCTTGCATTCCCGGCCATCATTGACACCGGCAGCGACCTCATATGGACGCAGTGCAAGCCCTGCGACGAGTGCTTCAGCCAACCCACTCCCGTGTTCGATCCATCGAGCTCGTCGACCTACACGAACCTTCCATGCTCGAGCAACCTGTGTCAGGCTCTTCCTACCTTCACGTGCGGTGCTTCCAGCTGCGAATACCTGTACTCTTATGGCGACTCCTCGTCGACTCAAGGTGTTCTCGCTAGCGAAACCTTTACCTTTGGGACTGAGAATTCAACCGCAGTCTCTGGCGTCGCCTTTGGCTGCGGCGACACCAACCAAGGCAGTGGGTTCTCGCAGGGCTCCGGTCTCGTCGGACTCGGCCGAGGACCGTTGTCGTTGATATCACAACTCGACCTGGGGAAGTTCTCCTACTGCCTCACCTCCTTGGATGATTCAAAGAAGAGCCCCCTTCTGTTTGGCTCACTGGCTGATCTCACCGCAAGTGCAGCTGCAAGTGCGATCCAATCCACACCACTGGTGCAGAACCCTAAACATCCAGCCTTATATTATCTCTCCCTGAAAGACATCTCGGTTGGCGGAAACCGTCTACAGATTCCGAGCTCGACCTTCGCGGTGCAAGAAGATGGATCCGGTGGCTTGATCATAGACTCCGGCACCTCCATCACTTACCTGGAAGTGGGTGCGTACAGGAGGTTGAAGAAGGCGTTCCTGTCCCAGATGCAGCTCCCAGTTGCCGATGGTTCTGAGATCGGTCTCGACTTGTGCTTCTTGGCCCCGTCGGCATCGTCGTCGGTGGAGGTTCCAAAGCTGGTGTTCCACTTCGACGGTGCCGATTTGCATCTGCCGGCGGAGAACTACATGATCATGGATTCAAGCGACGGTTCGCTTTGCCTAACGATCATGCCGTCGAGTGGCTTGTCCATCCTCGGCAACTTCCAGCAGCAGAATCTACAGATACTCTATGATCTGAAGAGTAAGATGCTGTCGTTTGTTCCAAGCCAGTGTGACCAACTGTGAATTGTTTGACTGAAGCCATTTATGTGTTTCTGTGATTTACTTGACATTTTTAATATCATGTTTGATGAAGTCAATCATTTGGTTTCAGATATCTTATTGTTTCCTTGTCAAATTGGTAACATCAGCAGTGTGGCCAATGCCAATAAAATTGTCATAAATTAATTAATAATATTTGATGGTTTATTTCACGAGATTATTAATTAATTAATAATAATTAATTCTGCGAGCTCGTTAAAATAATTATTTTGTTATATGTATTATTTAATGGGATAATTTCGGTTAAATCATCATTTACTTTACAACTAACAGCAACAGTCTATTTATTACCAATCAATTTCTTTTTCTATTTATTTTTTTTAATGTTTCTAAGATACCATCTGTACATTATTATGCATGTAAATATCCTCTTGTTTCAATAAAATCTTCCTACTCCTTTCATACATCTTTGTTTTCTTTCTCTTCTTTGTTGATAATCAAATAGGATGACATGAAGATTGAACAAAAAGAAATTATAATAGTTTTTTTACATTTGTTACATCGATTTAATATCTTTAGGATTTAAGACATTAGATTGTAATCTAATTGGATTGGATTATGATATTCTAGATATTTTTAATTATGATATTCTCCATGTTTTTACTCCAGTTCAAAAGATATTATCTTCTTTCTCAGTATGCATCAATATAAAAGATATCATATTCAATCAATTGAAGAGTTATAAAAAATAAAAGTATGATTGATAATATTTAATAAAATTATATTTAATTATTTTTTTAGATGATTGTATGAAGTAAAGGATTGTCAATAATAAAGAGATGTTGTCGATAGTAATCTCACAGCATTATCGTTCATTCATTGCCCTTATGATTAGCAAATATTACATGTGTATCCTTGTAATTGCAAAGTTAGCCTTGCCAATATTTTTCCCTTTAAATTTGAGTTATAAAACCATAAAAAGAACTGGCATATACATGTCATTTTAATAAATATCAAGGCAAGTTAACTGCTAGTTAAATCTCTAAATTTCATTAATTATTCTTTAAGATCTTATTATGTCATTAAAAAATTAATATTTTAGAATTTTATAATGTTGAGTATAAATAAACTAATATTAACCATAATTACAAGTGATTAATTTTATTAATATATATCATAAAAAAATGTGATAATTTAATTAAAAAAGGCCCCACTAATGAAGTTTTACTTAGATGATGCCCACATATTTGATTTTTACCGAGAGACACTTTTTTTTTATATTATGATCAAAATATTCTTTATAAAATACAAAAATAATCGATTGACCCCATTTGACTATGATTTTTGGCCTACACTGATTTATTTAATATGAATCGAACCAAATCGGCTCAATAAAAGCCTAAGTATTTAATTTTTCTACATATATTACCCTTTTTATTTCCAGATTACCCTCATTCGATCGATTAACAGTAATATTCACCAACATTCTTTTTGGTAGTGGTTGTCATCGCTATAGTCTCTGTTGTTGTCATGTAATCTTTGTCCTATCCTAACCTTGCACGAGCATGAGTCATATCCCTCGCGAAAACAACAACAAGTCGACAAAATCGAAGAGGAGATGAAGGGGTCCCATTGAACCTTGATGGTGGCACTGTCATCATCGGCTCCCTTCCTACCCAATCACCATCATCGAAGAGGAGAGAAAGGGATCCGTTGAGCATTGGTGGTGGTGTCATCACTATCGGCTTCCTATCCCTTTATCATTAGCTTCGTGCCCTATCGATTCTTTAGTTGAGTATCATTTTTTTTTTCTTCAGATCATTGCTTCTTTATCCAATTCATTGACAGCTTCCTTATGATAGAAGATTTGGATATCAATATTTTAGTCTTTGTGGTTTATCTTGTTTTTCAAATCGACTAAGAGATTTCTGACTCCAATAATTATCCATATAGTAATTAGTGACTATGACTACACATTTGATTTTATGCATAGCAGAATTTTTTGGATTCAATTGGCTGCCACATTAGTCAATTTATGCATAGTTGACTTTTTATTACTAGCAGAAGTATGTTATATTTTTCTCCAATTGTTTGATCATTTGCGGAGTGATTTTTTGTTGTTTTTAGATTTATTATAGCTTGTGGATTATTTCTCTTTTGAGCGGCATATCTTTTTCTATAGCCAAGAAATGCCTATATCTTGGCTACATATCCTGGCTAGATGTTCTTTTTGTTCTTACTTTTGAATTTGGGTATGAATTTGTTGGTCAGGAATGGTAATTTGGGGAGATTTTTGGTGGCAGATTACACCTACAGAAAGCTGATACAGCCTTAGTTAAATTATGTACCAATCATTGACATAGCAACCCTTTGGAACCTGAGATATATGTTGAAAATAAAAGGAAAGATGTGTTGGAATGGTGTTATCATGTAACCACATGGCTGAAGTCCTACAAATGTAGTGTCCATCGTGTACATGGTGAGCATTTGAAAGATTAACTTGAAAAAGATTTACTTTTTCATGTACTATGGTTTAAGTCCTTCACTACTAAGCTAGACTTCCTACTGAGTGGATTTGGAATTCTTTTTATGGCAGTCTTCCCTCCTGCAAAAGATTAACTTAGTTAGCATGCTTGGTACCTCAGTTTAGAGGGCTTGTCATTATGTGTTGATCTAGTCATGAAAAAGCTTGATGCCCACATGATTATAGAATAAATGAAAAATTCAAGATCACATCCACAACATCAATCTTGAAAAACTCATATAGAAAAATAAAGACTTTGCTTATAAAATAGAATTACGATCTAGCATTTGGATCATCGCGTGTCAAATTTTACTAATTATACTAAAATTATCAAAAAATAATACTAATCAACTTAGAATCATATCATGGTAGTTTTAGAGAATTTGATTCTAATTTAAGTAATTTTAACTTTAGTTATGGATATGATACGTTTACGATCTAACATTTAAATCACTACGTATAAAATTTTATTAATTACACTAAAAATATAAAAATAAAAAATTACTATAATCAACTTAGAATCATATCATAGTAGTTCTAAAAATTTTGGTTCTAATTTGGATAAATTTTAACTTGAGTTATACTCAAAGTTACGAATAGGATAGGATTATGATCTAACATTCGGATCACTCTATTAATTATACTAAAATCATTAAAAAAATAAAAATATTACTAATCAACTTAGAATCATGTTATGGTTGTAATGAATAATTTAGTTCTAATTTGGGTGAATTTTAACTCAAGTTACCGATAAAATAGGATTATGATTGGACATTTAGATCATCTTATGTCAAATTCCATTAATTACACTAAAATTATCAATAAAATTTAAAAAAAACTACTAATTAACTTGGAATCATGTCATAATAGTTGTTGATAAGTTTCAATTAGTTATATTTATTGTAATTCGAGTTACACTCGATCTCAGTTTCACTTCAATCTCCTAATGTAATAAGACCACGGTGTTACTGTCAGACAAGTGATGGTAGCACCTATACCTAGTGCTCTGCTAACCTAGAGATGTGGTACCATTCTAAACCAGGTGATAATATCACCAAGAACTATAGTATTCTTTTTAAAAAATTAATTTCTAGAATCATCTAAACATAAAAATAAATTAGAGAAAATATTACTAAACATATTAGAATTATGTTATGACTGTTATAGATAAGGTTTGATAGGTTTGAAACAAAAATTAATAGAATTATACTCACATTATACTCGGGTTACAATCATAGATTCAATCTCATAATACTCACATTTTAGGATGTTATATTATCTATGATTCAATCTCACAATCATAGATAATATAACATCCTAAAATCAAAATAAATAAATAAAATGATACTAAACATGTTAATATCATGTTATGATAGTTTTTGAAAAGTTTAGATAGATTTAGGGATAATTCAATGATTTATACTCGAGTTACACTCAATTACAAATTCAATATAGAAATCTCCTATTTTGATAATTAATGGCCCTAAAATCAGAAAATAAAATAAAAAAATATTATTAAATATGTCAAGATCATGTTATGATAGTTTTAAAAAAGTTTGGATAGGTTTAGGAATGATTCAATAATTTATACTTGAGTTATACTCGAGTTACACTCGATCATAGATTCAATATAAAAATATTCTATTTTAATAATTAATAACCCTAAAATCAGAAAAATAAAAAAAATAATACTAAACATGTTAGGATCATGTTATGATAGTTTTAGAGAAGTTTGTATAAGTTTGAGGATAATTCTCTTATTTACACTTACAATCATATTACACCTGAGTTATACTCGATCACAAATTTAAAATAGAGATCCTCTATTTCAATAATTAATAACCCAAAAATTATTAAAAAAATATGATACTAAATATGTTAGGATCATGTTACGATAGTTTTAAAAATTTTGGATTAGTATAAAGATAATTCAATGATTTACATATGAGTTACACTAGATCATAGACGAGTTATACTTGATGATAGATTCAATGAAGAAATCTCTTATTTTAGTAATTAATAATCTTAAAATTAAAAAATAGAAAAGATTACATTAAACATGTTAGGAATATGTTATGATAGTTTTGGAGAAGTTTGAATAAGTTAAAAAATAATTTAATGATTTACATATGAGTTATGCTCGAGTTATACTCGGATTGCACTCGATTATAGATGCATGTAGAATATCATATTTTGATAATTAATGACTATAAAATCAAAAAACTCAAAAAAATGATATTAAATATGTTAGGATCATGTTATGATAGTTTCGAAGAAGTTTAGATAGGTTTAATAATAATTCCTCTATTTACAATTAAGTTATACTTAATTATAGATTCAATGTATCATTTTGATAATTAATGATCCTAAAATCAAGAAAAATATGTTATACTAAACATGTTAAGATTATGTTATGATAGTTATGGAGTGGTTTGTATAGGTTTGGGGATAATTCCCTTATTTACACTAGAGTTATACTCGTATTACATTCGATCATAGATTCAAACTAAAGTACCCTATTTAAAAAATAAACACAATTGAAACACTTGATAAACATGACAACCACATACAATGAATCACAATTGGAACAC